TATCAGTCAGCTATTGATATCTTGTTGGGGGGGGGTGGGGAGATAGCTTTGACTCATAGGCTTGTACACAAATCTGTTAAGAACTCTAAAAGAATTTTTTTCCTTCTAGCCTGTTAAGAACTCTTCTTAACAGGCTGGAAGGAAAAAATTCTTTTAATTCACTGCTTCAAAGTGCACTGAGAAATGCCTGCATGCCATTTGGATGTAAACTACAATGATAGGAGCAACACACCATCAATTTCCTTCACAGAACCTTCTAGCCTGTTAAGAACTCTTCTTAAGAACTCTTCTTAACAGGCTAGAAGGAAAAGTTCTTCTAATTCACTGGTTCAAAGTGCACTAAGAAATGCCTGCATGCCATTTGGATCTAAACTACAATGATAGCAGCAACACACCATCAATTTCCTTCACAGAAAACTGACTTACCCGATTGCTTGTTTCACTGCAGACGTTGGGTTTGAAAGCGCATTTGCAGAGTTCACCACTTCAGTAGATGACTGGGTCTCCAGCCCTTCATTTTCCTTCTCCTTCTGTTCTAATGAAGAGTCCACGCATGCAGAGCTCTCTTGAAGCTGAATAACTGCCGGAGAACTTCCTTGCTCCTCTGGCCGAACATTATTTGCAAGGATGTGAGCCTCAGAGATTATCACTTCTTCCCACTCAGTCTCCTGCATCTGTCCCCCAGAAGGAGCTGCATTCAGTAGCTGGCTCACAGCTTCAGAGACCTCTAGAGTACATTTCGATGCACCGTCCTGTACCACTGCCTGTCCTAAGGCTGACGGTGGCTGACTTCTTTTGGGCCCCAACGTTTTTATAGGCACACCTGAATTTGGCTCAGATTTGCCTTTTGTCTGCTTCACCTGAAAGCACAAAACACAACCAATATCACACTCACTTCAGTTTGGACATTCACAACTAATCAAGGTCAAATCTGACTGGCATGAGAAAGAAATGAATGATTAACAGCTGACGAGCAGGCACTAACATTACAAAACAAGTACATCTACCCACTATCCCCATCACAGCATTTCACTTTGCATCATTTTCCATGTTTGGAGCACACAAATACAGAAGCAGCTGGAAAACAGAGGACCTCTTTGTAACACAGGATTCTGAAGAACATGTGGCATACCTCCTCCAAGCTGCTCTATCAGGCACAAGGGGTAAAGAACATGAATAGGAAAGGTAACAGCGAGAGAAGGTCTCACTGTAGAAGTCAGAAAGGCTCCTCAAGCAGGTGCTGCAGAGCCAGAAAATAAACTCTCTAAATAAATGCAGTCTAGATAGGATCAAATAAAGTCTGGAGGAAATCAAGAACTCTGGTTTTCATTGCCATACTTTAAATGATGCCCTTTTATTACAGACCAGCTAACATAAGAAAGGGGACCTTTCCAGTACTCTCCAATTATCATAAGTTTCAACACACATTCGTTCTGGAGGTGCTTGAAGCTACTGAGGAAAGGGAGAGAACAAGAGACAATGTGCATGTCCTTTCGTGTGTATACCATAAGATCAAAACCATTATGCTCCAGTTTACAGAAGGCTTATTTGAGGTACAGAAAAGGGGTAGCCATGTCATTGTGGTCAGTCAAGACTCTACTAGTATTCAGGGCCAATTCTGATACTACCAACACTTGATAGGAAGTGCTTTAAAAGGATTCTATGTAGAAGGTGCTCTGTGCGGAAATGTCAAAGAAACGCATGGATCTTCAGCATCTTTCTTTTTTTTTGTGAAGTCTCACAGACTATCAGCCATCTTCCTTCCATAGTCTCTAAACCAAACTAAGAGATTACTGGTAGATCTGTTCTGAGTGAGACCTTGGGTTTTTCTGCATGCTTAACTGACTCCTGATTTTGGCAGTCAATCCACAAGCACTGGGATCGATTCTTCCACATGTCTGCCCTCCCTCTGCGTTTTTACAGCTCTGGAGTCAGGTTTTTCCCACTCATACCTTAAATAATCAGGATTTTCAAGAGAGGGTGTTGCCAACATCAGTGGTGTCATCAGTGTTATGAGAGCACCCCTTCTTTTTATTTTCGCACATGCTTATATTGATATACCGTTGTAGCGATAGGTTCTCTGAATTGCCAGCTTTCATTTTAAAAAAAGTCTTAAGCCCTCATGAAAATGTAAGGGGGAGAAAGGCCTATGTCCATAAGGGAAGAGGCTACAGACTTTTTCTTAAAATGAAAGTTGGGAATTTAAGGAACCTGAAAAAACTACCACCACAATGGTATACTCATATATCGACATTTTAGTGCCTTTAAAAAATTATTTCTATACCCTTCCTGCTATGCACAATGACACAGAAGACCCACTATGTCTACAAAAAATGTTATCACTTACATGCTTTTATTTTCTGGATTAAAAACTAAAGCAAAAAAGCTAGATGTGTTTTTCCGTAATTTGAAACGTACCTTTGGGATCCATTTCCCTCCCAGGAAGTTTCCACACAGAGGGCATTTTGGTGGCTTGTGTCTGGTCACATAAGTAAAGGAACAGCCAGGATTGGAGCAATTTCCATGCCCTCTGCGAGTGTAAGTAGTTGTCTGAAGTGACAGGAGTATGAATGACTTTACAGAACAAGAATTTACATCATATTACATTTCTTGCCTCTCAACAAAGATACAAACATGAGGCCCCACAGTTATCCAACAGAAATTACATGCTATATGACCGCTAAGATTTATGAAATGTTAAATGGTTCCCACATAACAGAGGGACAGACAAAGAGGGCAGAGTATCACGCTATGGGCTACACAAGCAATATGTATGAACTTAGTGTTTTCGGGGGGGGGGCATCTTTCATTAAATAAGTGACACACTTGCTCAATTAGTGAAACAGTCAGTGATGCCAATGAGCAGGTTTCCATATGCTGAGACATCAGAACAGGTGAGTGAACAGATTACTGTCAAGTGGTGGGAGTGGAAACAAGACTGTATCAGTAGGACAGGATCACATGTACTACTTCATGTGGCTCTCTGGACAGAAGCCCCAAATGGACCTCATGTTAGCCAACATTTCTAGGAATTTACTGAAAATGAGATATTCTTGCCATTTCAACTTCAATCCCACTAATAATAGCTCATTTTCAGAGGGCATGAGCCCCGAAAAGTTCCTACAAACTGCGGAAGAAAGAGAAGAAGTAAAGGCTGAAGGACTCTTAATTGTGCCTTTGAGAACTTTGGTTCTAGGGGATGATGGGGGGCACTGTTTTTGGGCAATTAAATGTAACTGGGGATGGTTAAAAGGGTTAAAAGATTGACACAGTTCATAAGAAGTACAAAGATGAAAAGTTTGAATGAAGTATAAAAAGCTAGTTGGAGATCTCCTCTCTTGGGTTTTTAGTTAGTAGTGGGTTCTTTACTTATATGTAGCTTTCCCTTTCCCTTTTTTCTGTTCTAGTTTTTGTAGTGTTTAAAAAATCAATAAAAAATCCCCTCCGGGGGCTTAAAAAAATAAAAATAAAATAGTTCATTTTCAGCCTCAGTAAGCCAAAGGTTACTCAGACCGTGCCCATTACATCAGAGTTTATTTGCACTGTATTAAAGCAGCCTTGTTTTTCATCTTGACCATGTGAGCAGGAAGGAGAATAGAAAACAAACAATTGCTTTTGCTTTGTTGTGCAGTCAAGAGGCAGAAGGTGGCCAGTTAAGAACATAAGAAAAGCATTGCTGGATCAGACCATTAGTCCAGCATCCTTTTGCACAGTGGCCAACCCTCTGGAGGGCCAACAACATGGCATAGAGGTCGAGACCTTCCCCTGATGTTGCCTCCTAGCTCTGGGATTCAGAGGATGACTGCCTCAGTCACCATGGCTACTAGCCACTGATAGACCTGTCCTTCATGAAGCTATCTAAACCCCTTTCAAAACTGTTGATTCCAGTAACAAATCACTACATCTTCTGGCAGTGAATTCCACAATTTAATCACTCTCTGTGTAAAGAAGTATGTCCCTTTGTCCATCCTGAATCTACTGCCCATCAGCTTCATTGGATACCCTTGAGTTCTAGTATCTTGGGAGAGGGAGAAAAATGTCTCCAGTTCCCTACTGGAGTGCAGGAAAGACCTAGAAAGCCAGCTGCGTGCATATTTTGCGTTCTGCAACCAAACATGGGAGGGACCTGGCCATGGACTTGTGGCCTGACTGATGGGTATCCACTCTCCTACCTCTTAGGATGTTTTTAATTGCAAGGAAAACTGACCCTTCACAGCTTGGGATTTTGTGCAGACCGGGAACTGCAAGGAAAACTGACCACAGCTTGGGATTTTGTGCAGACCGGGAACTGCATTGGCTGAACTCAACACTAGAAGCAGCAGCCCACTAGAAGCAGCAGCAGCAACACTTCCAACTCCCAGGGCAGAGCTACCACTTCACTGACCATGCCTGCTATCTTTACAGGGTACCTGAGCAAAAGAAGAGCCTAACAGCTAACCCTCCAAGTTATGAGGCAGACCACTTCCCCCAGAACTAGACACGTATCTTTATAATACAAGAAAAATGAAAAGTGTTTCTAAAACAGATGGTCTCAGCATTTCTTACACTGACCAGTTTGATGGATGCTGGATTTTCCAGAACAGAATGAGCTGGCAGAGGTAGCATAATGAACTGTGCAGTAGGCGTTGAAGTATTACTTTCTTCTCTATCCTACAAATAAAAACCAGAGTAAGAAAACATGGACAGCTTTATCTATGCTGTTGCCATTCATCACAGGCATCCACATCAATATAAAGGTCATACAAAAACCAACAATACCTACAGAAATTAGGTTTGCTTAACGGACAATTTGTTTTCCAGCTGAAAGTGGCTAGGATAATTCCAAAGGCAGCCCTCTTTTCTCCTCTATATCTGCAGATCTAAATGGAGTTCTAAACAATGCTTGAAAGAAATTGTTTATTATGTATTAACAATGATTCCAACATATCAAATTGCAACTTTGCTAATCAGTCCAAGAAGGACTTTAATAAACTAGAGGTTTAACAACTGGAGCAGGACTGTATCTACTGCTTGTTAGCACCAGTCAGTCACCACTACATGACTCTCACTTATGCTCACTGAAGGCCCCTGTGGCGCTCAGCGCCATACCTCCGGGGCAGTGTTCCCTCTAAGCTGAGTTAGTGTGAGCTAGCTCACAGTTTTTTAGGCTCCAGCTCACACATTTTTGTCTCCACTCAGGAAGGATGGCTCCAGAGCAAACTAATTTATGCAGTAGCCAAATCACTCATTCACAACTTTAATGACAGTAGCTCACAAAGCAGAATGTTTGCTCACAGGACTCCACAGCTTAGAGGGAGCATTGCTCCGGGGTCCTCTAAACTCCCACAGCAGCTTTTCAGAGAGCAGCGTGGGCTGCAGAAGGAAAAGGGAAGCAGGAAATTCCTATGAGAATACCTCCGCTCACAGTTTCTTGGATACAACCAATTATAAGTAAGGATGAAGACAGCCATCCCTGATCTGTTGCTGAAGAGACATAACATGCGGATTCTGTGAACTTAGGCAAAGCATGAGAGGGAGGGCAGGAAGGGTTGCATTAGTACTTAGTTCTTGTGGCCCTTTCTTACATGCCCAGGGAAATGCTGATTGCCACGTTGGGGTCAGGAAGCAATTTTTCTCCAGGCCAGTTTGGCCAGAGATCCTGGAGTTTTTTTGTCATCTTCTGGGCATGGAACTGTGGTCACTGGGGGTGTGGAGGGGGAGGTATTTGTGAATTTTTTGCCTTGCGCAGGGGGTTGGACTAGATGACCCCTGAGGTACCTTCCAACTCTACGATTCTAAAAGTACAAATCCTCCATGTAAAGGAGCAAGAGGAATCCTAAATACACTTACTTAGGAGCAAGTGCCAGTGATATCAATAGAACCTCCTTCCAGAGGGGAAATATCTCAGACTGGAGTATAAATATAAAAACAGGAAGAAAAGAAATTACCATAATCTTTACTTACTCTTCTGGTCAGCACTGTTACCACAGAGAGGCCATCTGAAATCTGTGGTTGTGCCACACTAACACTCCCATTGGAGGCATCTGAGGAGCTGTTAACCAGAGTCTCTTCAATAACCACACTGGCTGTTTGATAAGGATAGCTGTCTCCCACTTCCAAAGGGGTCTCATCCAGGATGACCTCTCCAGCTACTTTATGGGCTGTAGGTTGGGCATAGTGAGACAAGATTTCTGATGCAACAACTTCTTCTATTGTGTCTGACTGAACAAATGAGGCTGCGTCTTCTGCAACCCCTTCAATGGCAATGCACTGCTCAGAAATGCCAACTTGGCTGGATTCTACAGAAAGGATGTTCTGCACAGCACTGTGGGAAGTGCCCGTGGCATTAGCAGATGCTGTCAGGCCTTCTGATGCTGTTTGGCCCTGGGCCACACAGAGTTCAAAGTGCTGCTTACTCCTCTCCTCTTGGAGAGCGCCTTTGGGAATAATTATGTAATCTGAGCGAGGAAGGATTTTACGGAAACCTGGAATGTCCGGAACGACAGCAGACAGTGAAGACAACTTCGAGTTCTATAGAAAAGGTGAGAACATAAGGAGGTAAGAACATAAGAGAAGCCAATGCTGGATCAGGCCAATGGCCCATCCAGTCCAACACACTGTGTCACACAGTGGCCAAAACCCTGGTGCCATCAGGAGGACCAACGGGGAGGCCAGACAACAATCAGATTGTTGTTTTGATACACCCTTCATTTATCACTGCTTCAGAAGGCAAAAGGCTACCAAGGCCTCATTATTGTTACAAAAACTTTCACTACCTCTCTCAGTTAAGTCCATTCACTTTTTCCATCTGAAACCTTAAATTCCTCCACTGAGGCACACCATAGCATTCTTACTGTAGAGTGTACACATTCCCCCCTGCACATTTGCATGCATTCATTTCATGCACAGTTGGCTGTTTTACAGCAGTGGGTTTTGTAACTGCTTAAAAGCACCCTATACATAAAAGAGCTTCTTATACTGCGCAAATATGAATGACCTGTAAATGCTACAGAAGGCACTGTATCAAACATCAGCAAGTTGCCCTCTAAAGTATTTTATGTTACTGGTAAGACTCCCAACAAATGCATTGTAATTAGATGACTTTAAGTGCTTAGATACTCGTACCAAAATTTGCAGGGACCCATCCTACCAGGTTCCTGGAATTTTTCCAGCCAGATGCATTGTAAGACAAGACAGCGTAGCTGTTTAAAGAAACCTAGATGCTTTGCAGCTGTACAAAACTGTTCCTCTTTTACAAAACTGTTAATCCTTTCTCAAAATAATACTGAAATTTCTCAAAATGATAATGAAATGAAAGACCACAATACTTTCAGCATTTTATTCGTGTAAGTTTTCAGAGAAGAGCAACACACACTACAATGATTCCCATGCCTGGAAGTGTCATGAAAAGAAGCTACTTATGTAAATTAAATTACCGGGTCTAAACCTTCTTTCTCTAATTTGGCCTTCTCCAAATAATAACTTTTCTCAGCCACACTGAGCAGCCTCCAGCTCTCACTGATCTTCTTGTTAATTTCAGACTGAGGGAGATGTGGGAGGTCCTGTTGAACTTTCAGGTAGATGTCATAATAGTACAGAAGGTATGCAGATCTGAAAAGCAAACAAAACCCAGCCTTTTAAAAACAGCTCGAAATATCACATTTGAATCAAAGAACCCACCTATCCCACACCTGCCAGTATTCACAGATTTGTTTTTAGATAAATAAAAGATATAAGACTGCCTTCTGTGAATAAGACTGTATAAAGACTAGGGCTGGAAGCATTAATCTGTAAATTACATACTAAGGTGTTTCTGTCACTCCAGTCAGAATGCCCACTGGAGCCAGAGCCACTCTGTATCGTATCATGGGTCAAGGATTTAATCACTTGCCTACTTGTGCCTTGACTTCCCCAGACCATCCAACTCTGTCAGCCCCAAAAGCCAGTTTGTTCTACAAGGTAATACACTGCAGCAGCGGGAAGCAGGGATGGAAAAAAGCTGGAGAATCATCAATACTTTCTAGACCAGCTAATAGTGTGGACACACATTCCATCTGCCTTGCAATCATCTGCTTTTTACTGTTAACAAATCACATGAGTTTTCTTCATGAGTTCCCTCAGGTACTCAAGGGTTTCAATAATCTGAATAATTGCTTCAGAAATTCAAAATCATTTATCTGTTGCAAACCCACAAGAGTTACCATTTTGTCATTGCATAAAAGGTAAAGGTAAAGGTTCCCTTGCTCGAAAGCCAGTCAAGTCCGACTCTAGGGTTGCGGTGCTCATCTCCGTTTCAAAGCCGAAGAGTCAGCGCTGTCCGAAGACGTTTCCATGGCCATGTGGCCGGCATGGCTAAACACCAAGGTGCACGGAACGCTGTTACCTTCCCACCGAAGTTGTACCTATTTATCTACTTGCAATTTCTTGCTTTCGAACTGCTAGGTTGGCAGAAGCTGGAACTAGAGACGGGAGCTCACTCTGTCATGCGGCAACTCGGGTCTCAAACTGCTGAACTACTGACCTTCCACAGCCTGCAGTTCAGCGTCTTAACCACTTGAGCCACCGCAGCATACTGAGTCATAAAACGAAGTCAAAACTGTTTAACATTTCCTAACAAGGTTCTAAAAAAAGAGGATGGGCTGTGGCTCAGTGGAAGAGCCTCTGCTTTACACACAGAAGGTTGCAGATTCAATTCCTGGCACACCCAATTAAAAGACCAGGTAAGAAGTGATGTGATAGACCTCTACCTGAGATCCTGGAGAACCACTGTCAGTCTGAGTAGACAATACTGACCTTGATGGACTGATTGTTTGATTCAGTATAAGGCAGCTTCATGTCTGTTCAAAATGCCACATGTATATATGCTGATAAGACTCATGAGAGGCTAGTTTCTATTCACAACACTTAAGATTTGACTATTTTTTATGAATTCATGAATAAAGATCTATTTTAGCCCAGCATGAGCACTAGGAAATCATTCTGTGTGAAAAGTCACTCTAAAGGATGAAAAGCACTCACCTGGGTTTTTTAGCTTTTTCCCCTTGATCTCCAGGACTTCTATATTTCTTCTTCTTTTTAGACGGCACTGGAGATGCATAGGTGTAGGTACCTTCTATCTCCTCCATTACCACAGTTACTTCACCACCATCATATGGAGCCTCCATTACTAGAAAAAAAAAATCCCAAATTAGACACTCTCCAAATTATTAAACACTCGTAAGTTATATGGCATAAAACTGGTCCTCATTTATTTTACAACTCAGCTGAAAGACGTAGATCCAGAATATTTCAGGGTCACAAAGGAACTGTTAGAGCTACCCAGTATAAATCCACTATACTTCTGACAGCTTCTCATCGAGTAAAAACAACTATGGGTCTAAATATCTCAGGCTACTGGGATGATTTGAGTCTTTGAGAGAAGGACAGAGTAGAAGGACTTTCCCTACACAGCAACCCTCTCCAATGAAAGCTCCATGGTTGCTACAGCTGCTCAAGCAGCATAGCAGCAACAAGCCTTCCAGTAGACAGCTTCCCTTGCATTCCGCCTGCCCCTCTTCCTGTGCCATCCAAAACTGGGGGTCTTTCCTGGGGGGGGGGTTAACCCATCATTTACAAACCTTTTATATCGATATGTTGATAACATTAATTACTATTTTTAAAAACCTTCAAAAAAGCCTTCTGGTGGCCTCTAGGAGAATGGCTATTACAGGGGTGGTTTCCACAAAAGGACAGGCTTGTGTGGTTTCCCCTGGTGCAGCTACAAATACAGCACAGAAGCAACGAGGTTTCCACATAGCAGGTTCCAAGCAGCAGCCACAGACACCCTCTTCCAGGACCACTGGTGCCTTTAAAAAGTATCAAAACTCAGCAATAACATTATTGATAATGTTATAACTATAGGTGAAACAGATTCTCTAATTCCTAGCTTCTTTCTTTTCTTGTTTTGTGTGTGTGCGTGTCTGTGTTCTATTATGCCTTCTATTATGGAGATATGCCTTTCCACTTATACCTCTGCACTTATACCTCTGCAATGGCAGAGTCTAGAGACTTACTTTCTTTTTAAATGACATCTGAGAATTCAGGGAACCCACTGCACATACTGTTATAGTGTTATATTAGTATAACAATATTCAACTGCATTAAAAAAATTAAAAACCCTCGGTGGCAGGGGAAGAAAATGGCCCTAAGAGGGACAGTATCAGAGGAAATGGCTGTCATGTGGGTGGGAAAACCCAAACTCTCCCACCCCTTCAGCAGCCATCCAAACTTTATTGCAATCTTTCTCCAAACTCCACTGTAAAGTAGGTTTGCAAAAGATCAGAGAAAAGACAGGGAAATCTGGGAAGGTGCAAAAATACACTACAATGGGGTGGGGAAGCAAGGGGGGGAAATGCTTCCCAACAGCACTGAACACAGGCCATATAAACCACATGGGGATGGCCAGGGGCTGGTGAAGGTGTGGCCGTGAGGGGAGGACCAGAAAAATCCAGACTTTCCCACCTGCATGGCAGCCATCCTGGATTTGCTGTGATTGTTCCCAAAACTTTGCAGCAATGCAGGGTTGGGGAGGATCAGAGAAAAGCTAGGGAAAACCCAAGAGGTGCACAGCTACACCATGCTGCTGTGGAGATGCAGAAAAAAATTGCCAAAAGCACCTGTAAATAACTCATGTGGAAAAGCCCTACAATAAATAAATAAATCCAATTTAAAACAAATACAAAGCAACATTTTTCAAACTGCCACTTCACGTCCAGCCTTAAGTAGCTACAGGTAAGTACAATTGAAGGCATAATAAATCTTCACCTACTGCATATATTTCTTACACAGATATAATTTTGGCCAGAAAAACACACAAGAGCTTGTACACACATGTGACATGAACACATCTATTTTATTGCCTGTAGTTACTCACAGGTAAGTCACAACTGACTGTAGGTTTGCAACATGTGCACAGTTTCAGAAACAACATCAGTACATTACAGCTTTGTTACGCAGAAGAAACATCCATTCGGGAAATAAAATTGCTGCATATGATACAGCCACTACAGATCTGAAGTGATTCACTCTCATCAACCATTTATTACAAATACTAACCACTAAACAGGAAAACCCCAACCATAAACATTTTTAAAACCACCTCTACAGTTTTGAAGGCAGTGCCAAATACTTCTATTCAGCTTGCTTTCCAATTTCCACTTTTAATTCTGTCATACAAAACCTTTAGGGACATAACTTATAACGACTGCTGTGATGCAAAAACAGTGGAAATCTCAATGCAGAAGAGGGTAGCCAACTCTAACCTGGGAAATTCCTGGAGATTAAGGCGTGGTGCTTATGAATGGGAGGATTTGGGGAGGGATTTCACCTAGAATCTATAGGATAACAACATCCTGTTTATCCTTTGAAGCTACCGTTTTTACCCAAAGGAACTATCTCTGTGATCTGGAGATCAGATGTCATTCCCGGAGAATTCCAGGCCCTAACCTGGAGATTAGCAGTCCTTAAGGGGGGGGGGGGGCTTTTAAAAGAGACCTTATCTTTCATTCCACTGGAGAACGATGGTAAATAAGAACTGTGGTCCGATCTGGGCCGTTTTTCTGTAAACCTTTCTCCATTCACCTACTAATGGACCCCACAGCCTCCAAACGCCCCTCCGTCACCTTCACTTGCCTCCGATATTAATGCATCACTACCCGCAGGCTGCCGTACGGGAACCACCGCTCGCTGCTATTACTAAAGGAGCGCCAATCCAAGGCAAGGGCTGCACCAGTTCCCGCGGATGGCGCGAGCCCGAACTCACCCGGGCGCGCGGGACGGGACGGTCATGAGGAGAAAAATCCGCAGCCTCAGCATGCCGAGGAGCAGGATCAGGCCACTCTACTCAAGACAACCGTAACATCCGCGAAGGGAAAAGAGAGAAAGGGAGACGCTTCAGCAACGAATGCCTTGGTGGGGATATCCAAAGCAGAGCTTAACCCAGGCACCGTACCGGAAACCTCAACCTCCACAAGTTCTTCCTGTGCGCCTATAGGTCATCCGACGTATGAGTATCCGTGGGAGGGGAAAATAAGCGAAGGCGAAAAATCATAGAGTTAAGAAAGTCTAAGAGCAAGAAGAGCGGCCAAGGGCCTATCTGGGAATAAGAAACGATCATAGAGTTTCTTCGCCTCCTTTCGGGCTCGGAATGTTCGAGGGTCGCGTTATGGGACGGCGGGGGGATCGGCACGGAAGTTCCTGATTGTTATTATTAACTAATTAAAACACCAAAACATTGTTTCAGTGGCGCATAACTAAGTTTCTCCCCCCCCCCTTCAGATGGAAGATCTACTTAGAATTTTCAGAAAAAGGCACAGACCAGCCAAGCAGAGGAGCACCGTGTTACGACTGATCAGTAACCCTCCGGTATCACAGTAAAGCATGATCTACTCCGTGAAAACTAATCTGGCAAAGCATCTTGTCTTGTGCGGTCCTAACGAATATATTATGGCACAGGTTTTCGTCAGTAAAAGCTTACTTTGCCAGATATGGAAGAGCAACGTTCAAGTTCAGTACCACCTTAAAAGACCTAACAAGGTTTTCAGGGTGTAAGCTTTCTAGAATCAAAGCTCTCAGGCTCTCTGAGGTGCTCTTTTATTGCGGACCAAAGTGGCTGTCCATCTGAAAGTTCGTCAGATACAGGAGCACCTGGCTGGCATAGTATGCACTGACTTATAATTAGTCTTTTAAGGTGTCACAGGACTCGCTGCTAGTTTGGATGCTGCCAACTAATATGGCTACCCTTCCGGAATTTCAGTGAATATTGGTGATGGAGAAAATTGGGGACCACAGCTCCCAGTTTGTTTCTAGGTTTTGGGGGGAGCTCATGAAACTGATGGGAGTGGAGCGGGGCTTGAGCAGTGCCTACCATCCCGAGACGGATGGGCAAACCAATGAGTTAATCAAACTCTTGAACAGTATCTCAGGTGCTTTACTAATTTCCAGCAAGACGACTGGGAGGGGCTTCTCCCCTTGGCTGAATTTTGCTATAACAATGCATGTTATTCATCAACTGGTGTATCCCCATTCATGGCGGTCTATGGTTATGAGGCACTGCCTCTCCCCTTCCTTTCGGAACTCCCCCTCCCAGAGGGGGAAATGGGTGACTGGTGTAAATGTCTTAAAGAAGCCTGTCCTGTCCTGTGTAAAACCTTATATGCGGCCAAACAGGCTTACAAAACTCAAGTGGATAAGAAACGTTCTGATGCCTGGGATGTCTAGCCGGGTGATTCGGTTTATGTGTCCACCAAGAACTTTAAAGGGCTACGACTTAGTCGTAAGTTGGGATGGAAGTTTGTGGGACCTTTCAAGGTATCACGGAAAATCAATGACGTGGCTGTGGAACTTGAATTGGCCAAAAATCTAAGACATTTGCATTCCGTTTTCCATTTCAGCCTATTGCACCGTGATCCAGGGCCAAACGTCTGGTGACCGCAACAACCATGCCCCCTTCCAAGGCTCGTGAAAGGCTAACCGCATCACGAAGTTGCTGACATTTTGGACTCTAAGCTGAAGCGAAATAAACTGTATTATTAGATTGAATGGGTGGATTTCGGTCCCCAACACAGGGAATGGGTGGCGAAGGAATATGTTTCCACCACCTGCCTTCCTAAACGCTTCCATCGCCATTTCCCAGAGAAACGGGGGGAGGGGGAGGTCCTTGGGAGGGGCAGGATGTCAGGTAACCCTGTCATTAGGTTGGAATGTGCTGGGGGCATCTTCTTCTCACGCCAGCTTATCCTGTCTGGTTCTTCACTGTTTATCTGTAGCCTGACCTTGATCTGTTTTCCAGCTGCAATGGTGCCCGGCCTGGGAATATCAACCGTTTGAGCGCAAAGCCGCTTGCCTGCCCGCGCGTGGGAAATGTAATCATTGGCTTCAGTTTATTGGGGGGTGACGTTTGATTTTACTATAAGTCAGTAGCCATCATATTGCAGGTCATTCTTGACACAAGCTGTATACTCGTTCTTTAGTAATGGACTATCATTAAACACTTATCTTCTTGAGAAGCCTTGGTGTGCGGCGTGATCCTGCTAAGGAGCTTGACACCTGGCCCCACTGGTGGACCTCCTGATGGCACCTGGTATTTTTGGCCACTGTGTGACAGAGTGTTGGACTGGATGGGCCATCGGTCTGATCCAACATTGGCTTCTCTTATGTTCTTATGGGAGAGAAATCACAAATACAGAACAAATTGAACAGTGATCAAATAGCAACAAAGACCTAGGCAACGAAAAATGTTTTAACTGATGCATAAAAGGGAAGAAAGTAAGTGCTTGACATGTAATCTGTGGGGGTCTGTTAAAAAATTCTGAAAGGCACTATGGAAAATGTCCTGTCTCCAAAAAAGTGAGAGAACTCTGAGCAGGCCCACAACAGAGGATCTTATAGAATGAGTAGTTTTGGGATAGGGATGTATGAATGTATGTGAGTGAAGACAGTATTTTAGTGTTGGCTTGCCAATCCCCAGGTGAGGGCAGGGGATCCATCACCCGCGTGCCATTGGCTGGGTGCTGGGTCTGCTGCTCTTCCCCGCCCACTGCCAGCTTGGCCACTTTCCTGTCAGAATAAACTACCCAAAGGGCTCTGTCTCCTGCTTGGTTCCTCAGTGGCTGGCTGGCTACTGAGGCAGGCCAGCGGCCGTCAAACCATTCTCTTCAACCTCCTGCTGGGCGGCTGACTTTTCCCTAGGGTTGCCAATCTCCAGGTGGGACTTGGAGATTTCCTGCTGTTACAATTGATCTCCAGATGACAGAGATCAGTTCCCCTGGAGAAAATGGCTGCTTTGGAAGGTATACCATATGGCATTATACCCTACTGAGTCCTTCCCCTCCCCAAACGCTGCCCTCCACAGGATCCACCCCCCAAATCTCCAGGCATTTCCCTACTCAGAGCTGGCAACCCTACTTTCCCTTTAGTGACTGTCGCTAGGCAACCAAGCTTGGTTCTGTCAATAAAAGGCGGGGAGAGGAGACGCTTTCCATGCCTATTTTGGCCTTTGGGGAAAAACTCATTGGGGCTAGTCCTGACTAGGGTTGCCAGCTCCAGGTTGGGAAATTTTGTGGTGGAGTCTACAGAAGCCAGAGTTTAGGGAGGGGAGCAGCCTCAGCTAAACAGAATGTCATAGAGGCCACCCTCCAAAACAGTTATTTTATCCAGGGGGAAAGAGAGAGATCTGTTGTCTGGAGTTCAGTTGTGATACCAGGCAATACCACAGCCAGTGTGGCTTAGCAGTTAGTGCTTCAGAGCAGGATCTGCCAGACCCAGGTTCTTGCTGTGGAAGCTGAGTGGGTGATTTCAGACCAGTCACAAACTTTCAGCCTAACCTAATTGTTGTCAATCTCCAGGTGAGGGCTGGAAATCACTCAGAATTACAACTGCTCTCCAGATGGCAGAGATCAGTTCCCCTGGAGAAAATGGTTGATTGTGTGTCCTTATACTCTGCTGAGATGGGCCCCCTATAACAGCCAGTGTGACATAGCAGTCAGGGCTTCAGAGCAGGGTAGCGGTTTAGGGGGGAGGGATGGAAAGCTGAAGTCAGAGGGGCAAATAAAGGTAGGTTGATGATTGGCTGGGAAGGAGATAGGGTTGCCAACTCCATCTTGGAATATTCCTAGAGATTTGAGGGGTGGAGCCTGGAGCAGGTATGGTTTGAAGAGGGGTGGGACCTCAGACAGGTACATTGCCATGACTCCACCCTCCAAACCAGCCATTTCCTTCTGAAGAACCATTGTTGCCAATCTCCAGGTGGGAGCTGGCGATCACTCAGAATTACAGCTGCTGTCCAGGAGGGATGGAGGATGAGATGGAAAGCTGAAGTCAGAGGGTAGGCTGATGGTTGGCTGGGAAGGAGATAGGGTTGCCAGCTGCAGGTTGGGAAATTCCTGAAGATTTGAGGGGTGGAGCCAAAGGGGGTGGGATTTGAGGAGGGGTGGGTCCTCAGACAGGTACAACCCTCCAAACCAGCCATTTCCTCATGGGGAACCATTGTTGCCAATCTCCAGGGTAGGGCTTGAGAGCACTCAGAATTATAACTGCTCTTCAGATGGCAGAGATCAGGTCCCCTGGAGAAAACGGTAAGCTCTGTGTCATTATACCTTGCTGAGATCACCACAGCAAATTGACACTGAGTGCCCAAGGCCAGGGCACCCATCCAGAGCCTTTTTCTAAAGCTCATTGTATTTGTTTCCACAATGGGCCTTATTCCTAGTAACATTATAATGATATTCAATTACCATTTAAAAAAAAACTTTAAAAGTCCTAGGGAATAATGGATGCTGTCTGGGGACTGAGGCAGATATGTTGTTTAAGAATAAGAAAAGTCATAAATTTAAAAACTAAACTGCCATGGTAACACATTTTATCTGCAGTCGCGATTAGGCATTTTTTCCTGCATGCAAACTGGCCCTGAGTGGCTTCCTGTAGACAAGAACTAAGCATGGGGAACAGGAATTCCAGGTCCAGAGTGGCAGCACTGGATGTAGTTTATTTTAGCCATATCTGAAATACAGTATAAGGTTTCCTTTCATGACTCACAAGCTTGTATGTATGAAGTTTGTTTGGGAGTGTATGGGAACCCAGTTTACACATTTTTACCAATCCCAGAGAAATTTTGCTTAGGTCTTGCGTTACAGAATACAATTCAGTCCAAAAGGCATTATAAAAGCATAAGGTTTGTTTTGTTCCATTAACTTGATTTTAAAAGACTTTTGTGCTCCCCAGACATCTTGCATGCTGCACAGTGTAACTGAATTAAGTAGTGCCTGTCAGCTGTGAGCAACTGCACAACTAGTTCTTAGAAAAGAAGGCATTAGGAAATTGACCCTCACTGGCTTCCTACAGAATGCCATTGGAGTAAAACATTATTTATAAACAGGCACTTGGAAAACTTGGGACTTCCTCCATTAGCTTGCTTGCTTTTTACTTCTAAAGGGCTTACATGGTATCCTGTTTCCTTCAGTGTCTTCCAGCT